TTTTATCTTGATGAAGTCCCAAGAGTTCATTTTTGCCCTTGCTTCCCTTGCCTTTGGCAATGTTTCTAGGAAGAAGTTGCTGCAGCTGAAGCCAAAGAGGTTGCTGCCTGTGTTCTCCTTGAGGATTTTGATGGACTCCTGTCTCACATTTAGGTCTTTCAACCATTTGGAGTCTATTTTTGTGTGTGGTGTAAGGAAATGGTCCAGTTTCATTCTTCTGCATGTGGCTATCCAGTTTTCCCAACACCATTTGTTGAAGAGACTGTCTTTTTTCCATTGGACATTGTTTCCTGCTTTGTCAAAGATGAGTTGACCATAGAGTTGAGGGTCCATTTCTGGGCTCTCTATTCTGTTCCATTGTTCTATGTGTCTGTTTTTGTGCCAGTACCATGCTGTCTTGATGATGACAGCTTTGTAATAGAGCTGGAAGTCCGGAATTGTGATGCCACCAGCTTTGCTTTTCTTTTTCAACATTCCTCTGGCTATTCGGGATCTTTTCTGGTTCCATATAAATTTTAGGATTATTTGTTACATTTCTTTGAAAAAAGTTAATGGTATTTTGATAGGGATTGCATTAAATGTGTAGATTGCTCTAGGTAGCATTGACATCTTCACAATATTTGTTCTTCCAATCCATGAGCATGGAATGTTTTTCCATTTCTTTGTGCCTTCCTCAATTTCTTTCATGAGTATTTTATAGTTTTCTGAGTACAGATCCTTTGCCTCTTTGGTTAGATTTATTCCTAGGTATCTTATGGTTTTGGGTGCAATTGTAAATGGGATTGACTCCTTAATTTCTCTTTCTTCTGTCTTGTTGTTGGTGTATAGGAATGCCACTGACTTCTGTGCATTGATTTTATATCCTGCCACTTTACTGAATTCCTATATGAGTTCTAGCAGGTTTGGGGTAGAGTCTTTTGGGTTTTCCACATAAAGTATATTATATCATCTGCAAAGAGTGAGAGTTTGACTTCTTCTTTGCCTATTTGGATGCCTTTTATTTCTTTTCATTGTCTGATTGCTGTGGCTAGGACTTCTAATACTATGTTGAATAGCAGTGGTGATAGTGGACATCCTTGCCGTGTTCCTGACCTTAGGGGGAAAGCTCTCAGTTTTGTTTCTGATCGTAGGTAGAAAGCATTTAGTTTTTTCACTATAAGTTTTATGTTATTAGGTTGAGGAAGTCCCCCTCAATTCCTAGTTGCCTGAGATCCATTATGTTGAGTAGATATTGAATTTTTTTCAGATGCGTTTTTTGCATCAGTTGAAATGATTATATGTTTTTTCTGGTTATATGGTGAATTATTGATTAGTTTCCAGATGTTTCAGTGGCCTTGCATTTGTGGGATAAATCTCTCTTGTTCATGATATATGATCTTTTTAATATATTGCTGGACTTGGTAATATTTTGTTAAGGTTTTTGTATCTGTTTATGGGAGATATTGGTCTGTAGTTTTCTTTTTCTTTTCCTGTAATTTTGCTGTCATTTTTGATATCATTGTAATGCTAACATCATGAAATGAGTTGACAAGTGCTCCCTCTTATATTGTAAGTTGTGGAGAGTTGATATTATTTCTTCTTTTGATGTTTGAAAAAATTCACCAATGAAGGTATCTGGGCATGCAGGTTTTGTGTGTGTGTATGTGCACATGCATGCATGTATATGTGTATAAAGGTTCTTTAACTATGAATTCAAATTTAAATAGCACAGTCAAATTATTTATTCCTTCTTGAAAGAGCTTTGAGAGTTTGGATCTTTCAAAGAATCCATTTCATTTAAATTATATTTATTTGTATAAAGTTATTCATATTAATCACTATTATTTTTTAATGTCTGTAGTTCTATAGTCTTTATTCTTAATTGTGGTAAGTTGTGTCTGCTCTCCTTTTTATCAATTTAGGCAGATGTTGGTCAATTTTACTGATCATTTCAAAGAACCAGCTGTTAATTTCATTGGCTATTATTTATTTTCTGTTTCTTATTTTTATCATTTCCATCCTTCTATTTACTTTAGGTGTAATTTGCTCTTCTTTCCTTCGGTTCTTAACGTGGAAGCTTGGATTGTTGATTTTAGATCTTTCTTCTTTTCTAATTAAAACATTTAATGCTAGAAATTTCCCTGTAAGTACTGCTATAGGTACATCTGACAAATTTCAATATTATATTTTTATTTTTATTCATTTCAAAATATTTTTTAATTTGTTCTGTGATTTCTTCTCCATTTTTATTTATCTTTTTAGTAATCTCTACCCCCAACATGGGGCTGGAACTCACAACCCTGAGATCAAGAGTTGTATGCTCTACTGACTAAGCCACCCAGGTGCCCCTGTGATTTCTTCTTTAAATCATACTTTGTTTACTTGTTTATTTACAATTTTATTTATCCGAGAGAGAGACAGAGAGATCACAAGTAAGGTGAGGGACAGAGGGGGAGAGAAAGGGACAAGCAGACTTCCTGCTGAGCAGGGAGCCCAATGTGGGGCTCCATTGCAGGACCCTGAGATCATGACCTGAAACCTGAGCCAAAGTCAGATTCTTAACCAACTGAGCCACCCAGGCACCCCTAAATCATAATTTTTTTTAAAAGAATGTTGATTAATTTCTAAATGTTTGGAGATTTTCCAGACATCTTTCTGTATTGATATCTAATTTAATTCTCTTGTGGTCAGAGAACCTACTCTGTATGATTTCAAAGCAAGTAAATTTATTGAGGCTTTTTTATCCCCCTGAATATGTCCCATCTTGGCTGACAGTCTATGTACATGTAAAAAGAATGTGTATTTTGCTGTTGCTGGGTGAAATATTTTATAAATGTCAGGTCAGATTCATTGATAGTGTTTTTCAAGTATTTTCTATTTTTGCTGGTTTTGTTTACCTGTTCTCTCAATTAGTGAGAGAGAAATGCTGAAATTTCCAATTATAATTGTGGTTTTGACTTTTTCTTCTTTTAGTTCTATCTCTTTGCTTTATTATTTCAGAACTCTGTTATTAGGTACATTTAAGATTGTTATGATTTTTCATGAATTTTCAACTATTATAAAGGTATGGAATTTTAGTTTAATTCATTTTTATTTCAGCATTTTTAAAAGTCTTGCTGTCATCTTTTGGCTTGCATGATTTCAGAAGCAAACTTTGCAATTTTTCATATCTTTGTGTGTCCTTTTCTTTGGAACAATTATTTATAAATACAAATATTTATTATAAATATATTATAAATAAATATAAATAAAATATATTATAAATAAATATAAGTAAAATATATTATAAATATATATAAAATAAATACAAATAAAGAACAATTTGATTGTTCCTTCTCTTGCTAGAAGTATTGCTTAGGGTATAGATGGAGTCAACAGATTTCAGATATTTTTGCTTTCCTGTAAAGTTCCTACACATTAATATCTACTGCCAAGCAACCACCCTGATTTATGAGGGCTTCCAGTGCTTGACTGCAGGCTCATGAAGGCTTTTGGATAGTACCATTCATTGATTCTACCAACACAAAAAGAATAGTGAGGTTTTATTGCTTAGTATAGTCAGGGCAATTTCCCAGATTCCCTTTCAAGTTGAATTCTGTCAGAGATAGCACAAATTCTCATTTTGATGTGACTTGAAGTTAATATGAAGAATTTTGGCATCTTTGTTATGAACTAATGTACTTTTTAAAATCCTAAAACCTGTAACTATTGCAGTTAAATGATGATGATGACAGTAATAAAAAGAATTGCAGTAATATTTTGTATACTTTACAGCTTACAAATCATTTCACATACATTTTCTCATTTAGTTTTATGATTATTTGTATTGAGAAGTTTTTAAAGACTCACTCTAATCAGTAAACATTGGCTAAAGAAAAAAGATTTTATAGCCAGCCATTTTTGAAATATTAGGGGGAAAAAAAAAACTGCTCAAAAGCCCTAATACTTACTGTCATTTAATTACACAGAAATTCTTAGTTTCAAATGAGATCAAGCATATATAAAAAATGATAAAATAAAATTAGAACAAAATGACCCACTTTTTTTTGTAGTTTTGTTCCTCTAAGATTAGAAGTGGATTTTCTTTCATTTTAAGAGGGTAAACAAATGTGTTTATATTATACCAAGAATATTTCAAAGTAAATATTAGTTGTGAAGGGTATCACTAGCAGGATTAATACTGATCATTTCTTACTTCAATAGAAAAGAATAGTCTTGGGGCGCCTGGGTGGCTCAGTCGTTAAGCGTCTACCTTCGGCTCAGGTCATGATCCCAGGGTCCTGGGATTGAGCCCCACATCAGGCTCCCTGCTCTGTGGGAAGCCTGCTTCCCCCTCTCCACTCCCCCTGCTTGTGTTCCCTCTCTCACTATGTCTCTCTCTCTGTCAAATAAATAAATAAAATCTTTAAAAACAAAACAAAACAAAAAAGAATAGTCTTTAAATGCCAATTTAAGATAAATTGGTATGTGGTATCTATGAAAAAATTATCAATGGAGAGTACCCATTAATAAAACAGACTTAAAAGTATTTATATAGTTATATTTATCATGGATATTTGTATTTACTCACACCCACACCAAAGTATGTGGGGCTGACAACTAGAAACAACTTAGAACTGATGAAGCTGGTCAATAAGAATTGTGTTCACATCAAAAACCTGTCTTTAAATCTATACCACAGGGGCCCAACAACTGATGAGAAAAATAGAGTTAGCTATTGTGGTCTCCCTAAACATTCTTCTCATGTTTATGCATTTTTAGTGTAAGCAGTTTGATTATGTGGAGTGTAAATTAATTAATGCTGAATGATAGGCATGAGATAGACGGAGTTGGTTGGTAGCTGGTATTTAAAATGAAGATTTAACCACAGAATCACTACTGGCCTTGCCAATCCCACATTTTTAGCACTTATGCAAGAAATGATTACTGTTTTTTTTCCTTTATGGAGGTATTAACTCTGTTTTTGTTAGTCTATTTTTTATTTTTAAAACAATCACTTGGTTTTACTTTTTTTGTGACAGGTATCTTCACACGAGGACAGCTGGGCCTGACAGACACCATTTTCCATCACATTCACTGTGATGAGATCTATGAGGCAATAAACATCCTGAGCGGTATGAACTGGGACACTCTGGGTCACCAGTGCTTTATCAGCATGAGTGCCATTGTAAACCATCTTCTTAGACAAAAACTCACTCCAGAGAGAGAAGGTCAGCATGAAATATATTTCATAAATGGATTTTGTATATATATGAAGTACATTTTATTGAGTCAGTTATCTTTTGAGGATTTCTTTGAGTTATGTTATTGGAGATTGAAAGACAAAAATGTTAATGCCCTATTAAAACTGACAAGATCAGATATTAAATAATAATATGGTACTTTAGAGTATTTGTCAATATAAAGAGTAACATTTTTCTATGTATCTATGTTGGAACTCACAATGCAGTCATTGTACATTTCAGTCTAAGTTCATGTGTGGAATATGCTCAAATTTCAAACTTTAATCAAGAATTTCATGTACTCTTGGGGTGTCTGGGTGGCTCAGTTTGTTAACTGTCTGACTCTTGATTTCTGCTCAGGTCATGATCTCAGGGTGGTGAGATGGAGCCTGGTGTTGGGCTCCACACTGAGTGCGGAGTCTGCTTGTCCCTCTGTCTCCCCCTCTACTCCTCCCCCTGCACATGCACACACACTCTCTCTCAAATACATAAATAAATAAATCCTAAAAAAAAAAAAAAAGAATTACATGTATTCTCTAGGGTCTGGTATACAAAGGGCCCCAAACAAAAGTCCTTATTCTTCCTTCACTTTATTCATAAATATTTTTCTCTCCCATCCCAAGTCTTTTGTCCAGAGAATAGTCCTTACCACTGATTTTGTGTGTGTTTGTGTGTGTTTGTGTGTGTGTATGTGATAGAGAGAGAGAGAGAGAAAGATTGAGAATTGTAGCTCAGCCAGCTGCTCTTTGTTTTCATTCTAACTGGTAGTTCTGATACCCCTCTGCCTGCTTGATTTCTCTACTTTCCCTCAGCAAGTCATTCTGCCCATAGAATCTCAGATAAGACACTGTTTTGTCTCTCTCTCTCTTTTTTTTTAAGTAAGCTGTACACCCAACATGGGGCTTGAACTCATGACCCTGTGATCAAGAGTTGCATGCTCTACCAACTGGAGCCAGCCAGGCACCCCTCAGATAGGATACTGTTTAAAAAAAGGGGGGGGAATAATGTGCCACATAAAATAATGAAAATCATTTTTATATTTGTTAATTATCCAGTATATGTTATTTTTATTGTAAGTTATTTACTTAATGTAAAATGCACCTAAATGTTCTTGCACTTGTATCTTTATTTCAAATCTTTGCAAGAATCATTGACATTAATGATAAGTCCTAGCCAATGAGAAACTTTCCCTAGGTAATTTACAAGATAGAGAAAACAGGAAATATGTCAAAAGGTCTTTGCTGGAGAGCTTTTTTTCCTACTATTTTCTTTGAAAGTTTATAGATTTTCTTACTCCATTTTATTTTATTTTATTTTTTTAAAGATTTTATTTATTTATTTGACAGAGAGAGACACAGTGAGAGAGGGAACACAAGCAGGGGGAGTGGGAGAGGGAGAAGCAGGCTCCCTGCTGAGCAGGGAGCCCGATGTGGGGCTCGATCCCAGGACCCTGGGATCATGACCTGAGCTGAAGGCAGACGCTCAACCGACTGAGCCACCCAGGCGCCCCATTCTTACTCCATTTTATTACATTTCCAAAGTAAACACGGTGTTTAGATAAAATTCTATACATAACCTTCACTGTAGTCATTTTAGAGGGCATGTTCCTTCAGGAAGTTCACATCATGGGACTTGTACCAACTCACAGGAGGCCCGCAATAAATATTTATTTAATGTTAATTGAATGTGCTTTTTGGAGGTAGTCCAATCCATCTATGGAGGGTCCAGTATTTCTACAGTGAGAAAATGCCTAGCACAGACAGTGCTTGGCCTACTGTAGGTACTCAAAGAATATTAGTTAAAAATAAAAAGAAGAGTATAACTTCAAAATGTTAGATATTACTGTAATATGTCTGCCTACAGAGTTATCTCAAGTATTTATTTCTTATATCAGTACACTCTCAAGCTTAGGTACATAGTAGGAAAAAAAAGGCAGAGTCCATAAAGAAAGCCTGTTATGGTATACACAATCTACATGAGATCCTAAATTTACAGTTGGAGAATTGTAGAGAAGATAAAATACTGACTGTCACTCAGGACACTGAGAAATTGCTAGCACCTTGGTGAATTTGTGTTGTAAGAAAGATTATTAGGGAATTCACAAATGGGCATTATCAGATTCTTGCTTTAATAAAAGATATTTTCAAGGAACCATTTTGGGAAGATAGGGAAATAAAAAGCTTGTATGATACCACGCTATTAAAACACTTGCATGATACTGGGTTATCAGAATATGTACATTTTAAGTAGGTGTATGTGTTATTCCCCAAGTAACTGTAAAATGCATATCTAAAACATTCAGAATTCTTCTCTTTTGGGATTTATTCTATCTGAATCTAACAAATTTGACATGGTAATTTGTTTTCCTTTTATTAGTGGAACCCAGTGAGCTCTTTTATTTGTGGCTGTGTTGTGGTTATCTTTGAGATCTTCATTTCTGCCTTATACATCAGGCTGGGCTATCTAATGAATCTGTAACTGTGCTGGGAGTTATGAGTATTCCATGTAGACTCGAACATTTCAGAAGTACATGCTGTCAAGAAAACAAGCAATGGCAAGAGGATCTGGCTTGTTTTCACAATAGCATTGCTGTATTCAATTTTAATCTAAATTGACTGCTGCTTTGAAAGAAAATACCCCTAAAGTTCATCTTACTTTATTGTCTAGATTTGAGATTAAAAAAAAAAAGAAATTACTAACAACTTAGCCAAGTCCATAGCAATTACTCTGATGAGGTATTTAATACTTTCAAACCTAAATATGCCTAAAACTAAAGAGTTTTGCTAAATAAGGAATCGTTTATTCAATCCAGCGCTGGTAGCATAAAAATCAATGGAGTCTTACTGTGAACTGTAGTGTTCTCATACAACTCTCAGCATTACTGTAATTATATAACTTCTAGGTATTTCCGGGAGAAAACACAACCCCAAAGGCATGGCTTGGTAAAATCATGAAACAGGCAAAATGTGCCTTTTTCTCCCAATCTCTAGCCCTCTGGTTTATCAAAACTTGCTCTCCAATCCTTTTTACCTAGGAAGGTGTCAGTTGACCAAGAGGGGATTAGCATGTCATCCCTCCCAGGGGTATTAGCTTTCACACTTGGACAAAACCAACAATCTTGTTTTTTAGGATGAGAAGGGAAGGCATGGGGACTTTCACTGTTTCTTTAAAATTATCTTAGAAAGGTATTATTACTCCAATAGGGCTATTTTCATTTGTATTATTTCAAAAACACTTCTACTATTTATTTCAATTCCCAGTGTAAAAGTTTGTTTTCTCCTTTCAGTTAGAGTAAATGTTGAGCACACTGTGAGTTGATTTTACTGGAAATACTAGTTCAAACTGTGTTACTTTGATGAGTCACTGTTTTAATTATCCATTTGTGGTGAGAGGTTGGTTCATTATGGATTTCTTCAGTTTTGACAGCTTTTTGTTGCTCAGAGTCATTGTCAGCTTTGCCTCAAGTGAAAGTTTATACACAGGTTTGTTTTTGTACCAACTGTCATATTTTAATTTTATCTTTCCTGCAACAAGCTCACATTTCATCCAAGTTTGCAAAACCTGACTGACTGCAAACATGAGTATTCTGTTGTAATTGAAGGAGTTTCACTTGTTTTAGTGCTGCTATGTTTGAATTCCACAGCACAGCTTGAGGCAAGCCTTGGAACCTTTTATGCTCCAACAAGACCACTCCTGAATACAACTATATTGGAATATAGAGACGAAATCAGCAAATATGCAAGAAGATTCTTCCATCACTTGCTCAGGTGAACAATATCTTGGAATTGATAAGTGTCAGACTAATTACCTATTTAATGAGTCATTTTCTTTAATTAGAATATTTCATAATATGGCTGTTTTCTAATAGTCCATTTCCTAAGAAAAAAAATCTTGATATTCATATTTATTTAATTTGTTCTTGTTTTCCTTTTAAGGAATATATTTGAATATTGTTTAGGGCTTTTACATCATCAGTACATTTGAATATAACTTCCCCTTTAATATGAAAGCAAACAATACTATGTAAAGTCAATTTTTGGGGGGTAAAGTCAGTTTTAAAGTATAAACTTAATTGTGCTCTTAGCACTAGAGAAATATTTTAGTTTTAATTGAAGCTAAAAATATGAATGTGCTATAAAGCTCTGAGACAGTCATTGGTTTGCTTTACTTTCAGAATTACTGTAGAAAGATTTGTCCATTGTCCTCTCATATAATGTGGCAAGTTCCTAGTCTCACTGTGCCTCATTTTCTCTGCTTTAAATGGGTATAATATATTTCTTTAATCTTAGGGATTATATGAAAAATTAGATAATAATGTCAAGAAATCACTCTGAGTAAAAGACTATAGAAGTTGAAGGGCAAGTACATATAGCATATTCCATATACATAAAGTTCAAAAAATGGATGGATGGATGGAAGGAAGGAAGGTGAATGGATGGAAATAGATGGATGATGGCTAGATAGTTTAGGGATACATATAAATGTGTCAATGCTATAAATAAAAGCAAGGAAGTGATTAGCACAAAATTTAGGATAGTGTAGGGTGAGTTAAGAGAAATATGATAGGAATAGGCACATGGGAGCTTCCAAGGTATTAGTAATGTTCCATTTTTTAAGATGAGAGGGAATTATATCAGGGTCCATTAAAATTATTATTCTTTTAATTGAATATACATGTTGTATACTTTTATATATGATGTGTTTTATAACAAGAAGTAATAGAATTACCAACTTCATGTACCAAAAGGAAGTATTAGGTCTAGTTGAATGTAGAGTTTTGATTTCATTTATAATCTGATATAGTTCTTTTTAACTCTTTCAAGCAATTTCATGTATAGTCTCTCCTTTTTTTTCTCAGAACAACTCTGTAAGAGGGTATTATCATTTGACAAATAAATAAACTTTTAAGTGGCACTTTAATCTTTACCCATCAGGGAAACCTTTGGAAAACAGTCTTTTTAGAAACTAAGAAATGTTAATATATTGCTTGAATTACAATCTGTGATTGAATCTTGCCTTTTTATCTGAATGGCTTTAGCATATTTCAAGAAACTCTTCATACTGAATGAGGCATTTTTCTACATCTGCCAAAAATACTGGGGCTGGTGTCACATTTATTTGGATGTAGGGCTTTGTTCTTTGCCCTGACTATATTTTGTTTTCCTTGTTTCTGGGGAAAACTAATGAATTCACCTCCTGCCTGAAGAGCCCCAAAAGATTAATTTGAATGAAACAGATGTTTTGGAGGCATATTCTTGGTGGCCTCGCTGTCTGGCTTCTCTGACTTTATGCAGTGATTTAGTTGTGCATGAGCCTTACATTTCATAATGCTGGGCCCTAGGATGCTCATATCCTGCTGATATTCACACATTCTACTAATGTGCAATTTTTTGTTCATTAATTTTTTCCTCAAATGCAGTATACTTTCTAATTATTTTTTGGAATGTATTTTGATGAGGTGACTATTATTGTTGTTGTTGTCATTATTATTAGACTTTAGCTTTTCTGTGTGGTTATACCTGAAATTGAATGTTTTTCCTTGGGGTGTACTGTGTTTTTCACGTTTTCTTTTTTGCATGCTTTGCAATTATTTCAGTTATAATGAGTGTTTATTAGTTCTTTTGACAGTAGGCCATGTATAACATTATGAAAAAAGAAGAGTAAGTTTAGAAGAAATTAAATGAAATAGCTTAAATTGGAATTATTTTTTTGTTTAATCTGCTGCCAAGAAGTTCTCCTACTTAGGGAAAGAGGAGCAGGCCAAATACTTTTTTGTATTTGCAGAGTGCTAGAACTGCATTACAACCCACACCTTGTCTAGCCAGTATAATACTCTAAAAAAGTTATTAGATAATGGAATAAGTCCTAAACAGTAAAGACCATCATAAAGAATTTTAAATTAAAGATGAAGAAAAGAGCACCATGCAGAGTAGGGATGTACCTAAGGTCACTAATTGGTAAAGCTGAGGACTGAGGTTGCCTGAGTCCAGATTAGGCTCTTTTGATAAGGAATAAAATATTACACTGATTTTAATTTCATACAGCATATAAAGTGTGAGGTCATAGTATGAGTTTGTGATAATTGACAGTTATTTATTGGGTTATTAAAATATTTTTGCATATAATTTTGTTTTTATCTTGACATTAGAGGAAGACCACGGATCTTTTTGTCTTTTCTTAAGTTATCTTGACAGCCTTCCTCCAAATCCAAATGAATCTAAACTTTAAAACTTATTTCTCATGTCCTTTCTTGACACCTTTTTGTATGTGTTCAAAGTGATAAATTTTCATGAAGAAATGCTTCCTGTAAATGTAAATCATGCTCCTAACATTGAAGATAGAAAGCAGAGGTACAATATTGATATGATAGCTAAATAAAATGTTTACTGTAGTAAAATTTTATTTATTTTTTATTTTTTATTTTTTTAGGATTTTATTTATTTATTCATGAGAGAGAGAGAGAGGCAGAGGGAGGAGCAGGCTCCCAAGGAGCAGGGAGCCCGATGCGGGACTCGATCCCAGGACCCTGAGATCATGACCTGAGCCGAAGGCAGACGCTTAACCATCTGAGCCACCCAGGCGCCCTGTAGTAAAATTTTAAATAGATGATGCAGTCTAATTCATAAAATCATTAAGCTGGAAGACATCTATCTATAGAAGGTGTCTAAAAAAAAATTCAGTGTGTTTTCCTTTACTCTCATATTCACACTTCTGAAACCAGATAGGCGGGAGTTTTTTTCCCACACAAACTGATTCTCTGACACCTGCTAGATGTCCTACAATTCAATTCAGTTCTGACACTAGCCAGAGTTAGCACAGACCCCACATATAAAAGGATCAGTCCCACAGTCCCAGTATCCCGACTTCAGCTGCCATTTGTAAGTAGTAAGTCCCCGGGTTACCCACAACTTCTGTCCAACTTGGCTGCAAATTGGAGTTTCCTGCTACCCCCTCCTTCCTCAGGTTCACAGAACCCAGGAGAGCAGTTTACTTACTATTGCTGGTATTTTAAAGGATGTTTTAAAGAATACAAGTGAACAGCCAGATGAAGAGATGCATAGGGCAAGTTATATGGGAGAGGATGTGAAGCCTCTTTCCCTTTCCAGGAATGCCACCCTCCCAGCACCTCCACATGTTCACCAAGTTTGGAAGCTCTTTCAACCCAGTCCTTTTGGATATTTATGCAGGATTCATTACATAGGCATGATTGATTAAATAATTGGCCATTGGTAATAATTCAACCTCCAACCCCTCTCCCCAGCCCCAGGTGTGGGGGTGGGACTGAAATTTCCAATCTTCTAATTGTGTGCTTGATTCCACTGACAACAGCCCCCAGCCTAGGGGCTTTCACAAAGTCTTCTCTGTAATATAAACTCAGATGGGCTGAAAGGGACTTGTTATGAATAACAAAAGATTTTCCTTTCGGTTAGGAAATTCTAAGGATTTTAGGGGCTCTGTGCCAGGAATGGGACACAGACCAAATATATATTTCTTATTATAAATCACAATATCACAGAAGGTAAATTCAACTGTCTAAGCTAAGTTCAGAAGCTGGTTGTTCATTTCTCTGTCCTCAGGAAATTGAATAGTCCTCCAGAACTACTGAATAGGAAAGTGTTAACAAGTAAGAGCTTTTCATTATAAGTAAATAGAAACTGTAATAGGAACTCCTAGATATTGATGAAATAAAAGGGCAAACATTTCAAGTAAATGTGCCACATATGAAGCTTATTTTACTAACATGGAAATATAAAGATTAAAATTAATTTTTTCTACTTAACTTCCCCTCTTAACTCTTAAGACTACTGTTTTTTGACTCAAATGGTATTAGGTGATTATGGCACAGAGTCATGCTTTTCAATTCTTATAAAATAGTAAGCACAATGTTGGGAAAGGGAGCTTTATTGCTTAGAACTAAAATTACCAAGTGAAATATTTGAGGCAGAATTTACTAATGTCTGCATTTTCCTTTGCACTGCAACAAAAAGTAAGATGAATTGATAGAAAGGGAGATGGATGGATATGTGATAAAACAATATTATAAAATGATGATAGAATCTAGGTGGTAAATACATTCTTTCAACTTTCCTAGATGTTTGAAAATTTTTATGGTAAGGTGTTGAAGGGAAATATACATTATATTGGAGTCAATATTTATACTTAGAGTTCAGGAAAAAAAAGGTAGTGTTTTGGAAATTATTCTTAGCTTTTGGAATGGTTCTTAACTTATGCAATAAATATATATGACAGGCAAAAAGAAATCATTTGTGACTAAAAAAGTTATTAACCAATTTGATTTCTAAATGGCTTTTTCAGTTACATTTTTCACTAATGGAGCATACACAGTAAGTAAAACCATTATATGAAATCAATTCAAAGAATATGAATACTAAAACAGTTACCTAAGGATATTTAGGGAACAAGACAGAATATTTGCCGGGAAAAACTTCCTGGTCAGATCATCTAAAAATGCTGGATAATATATTTAAAATATTTGCTTAAAGCAAGGTTGAGCTGGCAGGAAACAAAGGGAAACACTCAGGTTGAAATGACAAGGATGCTTGATTCTACAAGTAAGCAAGCTCTAAGTTTGCCTTGAGGGCACGTGCTGGCACCTGGCTGGGAGGAACTTGGTTTACAAAGGCTTTATACTTAAGAGTATAGGAGACAAAGCCTAGGGCTCAAGCAGAGTGGGAGATTGGATCCAAAATCCCCACATCAATCTAGTACCATTGAAGGGTAGCATCCTCTCTGAACTATAAGGAAG